TAAAGCAACAAAACAACCTGAAGAACCGGTTCGGAGCCGAAAGAGCCGGATCTCTAAAAAGAGCCGGAAATCCCATCACTAATGCAGTATACATGTATACACCATTAAAATACATTATAATCTCTAAGCAGATTTTTATATCTGATTTATGTTCCTGTGACATTTACTTTTCCAGGACAGCAGCCAGGGAGTGTAACCCTTAAATCAGCCTCTCAATGTGCAAGCGACTGCACTGAGTGTGTGGAAAGCATTGCTGGGGACATGGATGTCAAGGACACTTGTCTTAATGGAGACGTCAGCAGGAACAGTGCAGGGAATGCATGTGACCGGGAGGGAGCTGTTCATGTGTGCACAAATCTGAATCAGTGTGGATGTATGTGTGATGAAAAAGAAAGTACTGAAAGTAGTGTGCATATGAATAGTGAACATGGTGTGTTTGCCAAAGAGACTTGCCAAAAGGATGAATCAAGGATGTCTGCTAAAGAGCGGATGGTGTTGGTAGAGAAGGAGGGCTGCGCCACAGTAGTGATGTACCCAGAGCGTCAAACGGCTCATATCTTTTTAGCCGATGGAACGGTCGTCGCTGGGAACAATCAAGGAGAATACGAGGTGCGTGATTTGCCAGCAGATGGCACCAAAACTTAAATAAAAGCTTGGAACTAGTGACTTTAATACATGGATTAGGCTGCACTTTGACACTTGGTTGCAGAACCGTTGATCCATATTTGTACTTTGTACCCAAGGTGTTCTCATCCAGCGTAGGAGTCCTGTCCATCAGAAGCGATGGAACATGCGTGTACTCCTCAGACCCACTCGTAACTCCAAGTCCAAAGGGGTCTACTCCCACTGAACAGACAGGAATTTACACTATGAGTCATACGGGCGAAGTGGCCTGTGAAATTACAGACCCTGATGGGAACCATTTCCAGGTCAGTTTCTCTGATCACAAGATAGTGAGCCTATGTTGCTGTGCAGGTCTTTCTTAAGGTGGTTAGCATAGGAGGAATGTGGGAATTTGGATCTATGAAATAGTTTGCTATATTCTTAAAGTCTCAAAGAAAGACCTATGATGGGAAAAAATATAGAAATTCATTAAGCTTGTATTGTTTTTAGTTTCGGTAACATGCTGAACTTTGTTGCAGGTTATGGAGGATGGGCAGATATCTGTGCTAAACTTGAGACCTGCTACTAGCACGCTTAAACAAACGGAGGAAGAGCTAGAAAAG